GGAGGAGGAGCAGAGGAGGATCGGAGGAGGAGCAGAGGAGGATCAGAGGAGGAGCAGAGGAGGAGCAGAGGAGGAGCAGAGGAGGAGGAGGAGGATGAAGATCAGAGGAGGAGGAGGAGGATGAGGATCAGAGGAGGAGGAGGATGAGGATCAGAGGAGGAGGAGGATGAGGATCAGAGGAGGAGGATGAGGATCAGATGAGGAAGAGAAGAGAGAGGAGGAAGAGAAGAGAGAGGAGGAGGAGGATCAGAGGAGGAAGAGAAGAGAGAGGAGGAAGAGAAGAGAGAGGAGGAGGAGGAGGAGGAGCAGAGGAGGAGAACGAGGAGGAGGGGAGGAGAAGGTGACGGCGCGCGCCCTAGGAGAGCCCCGACGAGTCGCCTCGCGGAGACGCAGTCTGGCCCGGGAGACGGCAGACAGACAAACGATCCGGGACTAACAAGCGCCGTGGAGGCGCGAACCGCACCAAAAAGAGAGCAACGCCCGCCTGCCTGCCCGCCCGCCTGCGAGTGAATGAAAGCGGCGCTGTGAGTCGCCTTCGCCCCCAGCCCCAGGGGAAGCCTTTCGCCGCTCTGGGGGCGACGTGGCCTTCCGCTAGAATTATCGACGCTTTTTTCCAACAGCGACGTAAAAAATGAACAGAGGGCGATTTACTGCTTTCATTGCCGGCAATGTACGTGTATATCACATGCATGACCTCATCCCGAAAGAAGAGGGGGTTGTCAGTCGCAAACTTGAAGCGAGATATTCCTGAAGGCTTTCGCGTAACTGCCCTTTAGGACTCGCATTTGCACTAAGCCATTTTCTATTCACAAGCATAAATCTATTCCAAAGCACATGTTTGTAAAACAACGAACCTAAATTCTTTCATAATGTACAGCAATTCTCACAATGTTTTTATTTCCGCGTTGCAAATTAAAGAGGCGAGAGAATCAGACTTAATAACGTAACATACGAACGTGATAAGCTCTTCCGCGACAGACTTGACAGCAGAACTGGAGATATGCGCCGAGAACAATGGCAAGGGAAGCCATAAATCTACATGCAAATAGACACTGGAAACGCAAAACGTTCCCGCGTGTTTGTGGATGGCCGAAATAGTAGAGAAGGGCAGCAGACTTTATTACGCTGATTATCCTCAAGTGGTCCAGGCGTTGGAACTCTCCAATATATGAGAGGTCTGTTTATTAACAATAGTTCAACCATATATGAAGAGATCGAAATTCATTACTAACTTTGCGAACAAACACTCCTCTATCTAGATGACATGAATATTTGAGCATTTTATTTCATTTTTTTCTTCTAGTTTGCGTCTTATTTACCGATAATAACACATGCATCAATTACACTCGTTGAAAGCGTAGATGGTAGCGGAAAACCAGAATAATCGACAAGGCATCTTGTGTTATTAATGTGTGTTTTGCTATTAATGTTGCTTATACCACTGAAGACGGGGAGAGTTCCCCAGACCTAGACTGGTATTTTATGTGTATTAGTGTATAATTTGTTAAATACACTATTTTCTTTCTCATTGACGTCTGATTACCTCTTTCATACGCCTGTAATCTTCACGATAACTATACATTTGAAGAATTGTTTTAAACTATTTTCAGGCTTATTTTAATATTTAAGGCTTGAAATGCAAATGAATCTACGTATTCAATGTTAAACAAAATTGTTTAAATAAATGTTCGAACACCTTCAGAACACGTCAGGTGAAATTTGATATTGTTCCTGAAAACAAGAATTACTTTCTGAAAGCAAATTTGCTACAACTATCGAAGGTTTAAGCTACAAGAAAAAGTCAAAGGAACATTCCCTCTACGAATTACCACTGCAAATATCTTATATATAAAAGACAATGTTTGTTTGTTTGTTTGTTGGTTGGTTGGTTCGTACTTAATGCGCTGCCGTTCCGTTCATTCAATTGCAATAAAACGTTAATTACTTCTTGCACTTGTGGAAAGAATATAGGCATAGCACGACGGGAATGTGCATATGCCTGCACGTAGACGCGCGTTGATGATGATTTTATGTTGACCCAAGCGCCCCTCTTCATGCTCTCTTCGCAGCGGCGCTCTACGCCACCCGCGGCACCGTGAAGTATTAAGTACCTGCCTTCCTCTGCGATTGTGAAATACCGCCCGCAAGAGACAGGTAGAGAGAGAGAGAGAGAGAGAGAGAGAGAGAGAGAGAGAGAGAAAGTGAGAGAGAGAAAGTGAGAGAGAGAGTGAGAGAAAGTGAGAGAGAGAGAGTGAGAGAGAAAGTGAGAGAGAGTGAGAGAGACAAACAAGCAGAAAGAGAAAGAGAGAGATGTGAGAAAAAGACGGACAGGGACAGTGAGAGAGACGGAGAGAAAGGGAGAGGGAAGGAGAAAGAGATAGAGGGCAGGACGTCTGCCGGGTTCCGCTTGTAATTTATATATGAGAGGTTATTAGAGACATCAATGTGTTACATGTTTATGGAGAATGATTTTTTTTTAAATACCTGCATTGCTCTGCACAAACACAAGCAGACTTTCGAAGAGTTGAAAAGAATCTACATCTCTATAAGACTAGAAAATTGCTCAGACAATCGAGCGCGTTACTCCACAAAGTGATGAAAATGTAGTCATCGGTTTTATCTCATTACCAGGCTGTAGAATTCGACACTGCATTAAGCCAAGGTCTAACGAAAGTGTTATTAGCAAACACACTATACTTAGTCTTACACCCTTTTGTGGAATTCGAAACGTATTTGTAACATCGGCATTATAAATTCAATTGTAATTGAGTGTGCAAACAAGATGGGTCTTTTCAAGTGTCAAAAAACATTACCATTGCCCTTATTATAACAAATAATTATTTTGCCATTGAATTTTATTGAACTCTCCATCTCAACGGTATCGCAATTCGCACAGCCATTGCCGGAGGCCAAGGGCATGCTCACATTAAGAGTTATTGCAATCCGAAGAATAATTCAATCGATTGCGTTTTTCGTCTCCATTGAAACAATCCTGAATTTAACTGACGTAACATAACATATTGTTTCCTACTTTTTATTTCACTTACAGAAACGAAATAAAATAAAATATTACACACGATATCAATGATACTTTACAATCACTCCTCTGTCGCTCGTACGGTAATACTTCAGTAAACCAAACATCTCTGATCTTCTTGTATAACACAATACTGTTTATCTTATTATACAGCCATGCGCTTCTTTTTATCTGCGAAAAAGCTCACCCGCATACGCATTACTTATTACGTCTTGCACTTACCACCAGAGGTCCCCTTTTCGAAGAGCTGCTTCACTTGGGCAGTCTTCCCCGTGTACGAGCTCTCGTTCGCCACCTGCACGCACAACCGGCGGAACTCCCTGAAGGTGTTGTCCTTGTGGCCAGGCACGCTCTTGGGCAGCAGCGCGGCCAAATTCGACGCAGACGCCGCGCCCGCGCCCTTCTTGGGCTTCTTCTCCTTCTCTTTTTCCTTCTCGTCCCCCTTTTCGTCGCCGCCCTTGCCTTTCTTGCCCTTCGGTTTCTTGGGGGTTTCTGCTGGCTTCTCTTTTTTGGCCGTCTTAAAATCATCTGCAATTACAAAAAGTATTCATTGAAAGAAACTTCTTCAGAAGAGAAAAGGAAATAACTTCAAAATCTTATGAACAACATTGTTAATAATTTGGCAGAAATCGGTTAGGAAATAGTTGTGCTACATCCGTACAAACTTTCTCACATTATTTGTAACTGTTACGAATTATAGTAGCATTTCAACGCGCAAAAACATGCGTACGCACTCGTTCTGGGAATTAAGCGTATGCAATCGTTCGCATAATAACGCATTCGTTCTGGGAATAGCTAAGGTTCCCTAATACACATTTTGTAAACATGTCCATTGTTACAAGGGCCATGTGGTTTCAGATATTATAGTGCAAATGAATGACATTGTAAGAAAAAAAAATTGTTCGACAAAACGAGAGTTGTGAATATTGGCATAGTGTATTAAATTAATTAAAATTATTTTGCAGGAAAATTAAGTTTAGCAATTAAATAGGGCCGGTTATATTCCCTATATAAATACATATATTGTTGATTTAGAGATCCTGCATTGTAACGGACTGCAATATGGTGACAGGTGTCAATACAATTGTGGGAAGTCTCACACTTTCTCCAAGCCGGACAAGTGACATCAGTTACCGAAGTATCCTCCCTATTCTGAGAATTCTTTTTTCGTGTTCAGGTTGAACTCGACGCGGGTAAACGATGATTCATTCACACTCGCGCGCGCGCAAAGAAGGCAAATTTCGTAGAAATGGAAGCGCACAGCCCCCTTGCCAGCAGCAGCGGCGCCGTCGATCGCGCCCTTACGTCACGGGGCGCGAAGGTCAAGGCGGCCGCATTCATAACGCACCGGCCCCGGCCCAGCCCCGGCGCAGACCCAGTGGCGGGAAGGCGCCCGGACGTCGCGTCGCCAATGAATCGGGAACACGTAAGCGAGCGAGCGCGCAACTCGGCCAATGAGCAAACGAATCAGGGCAGGGCCGCGAGCCGCACGCCACTCGCCGACGCGGATATTTTTAACGCTTCGTCAATTTCTGGATGAAGGCGCAAGGTTCCCACACGCGCGGGGGGCCCTCCCGACAGGGATGAGGATGAAACACGGAAGAAACAGACTGGACGCCTCGATACCCCTCGTGCCTTATTAAGATAGCGGAAACGGCGGCGTTGGCGGTAGCGGTGGCGGCGATGGTGACGGTCCTTAGGGATTACCCATAGGGATTAACGTCAGAACAGCATCACCGATACGACCCTCGACATACAATTCTGAATAGGACGCTTCACTCGCTAGAAGCTACCAGTTTTGAAGTCGGTTGGCTGCGTGAAAGTATACACTTACCACTCTGTAATCGGGACAAGTTCCGCACTCAATTTCGTCAGAATGAGCAAGGCGGAGGTAATTGACAAGGCGAATACGAGCGGAGGACGAATACGAGCGGTCTGGGGTCCCCACCGATATCCCCACTGCCCCCAGCTTGACGCAAACGACGTGGGTACCGTCGATGCACTCAGAGCTTCTACCAGAACTAGAACCGAGGTTTTAACCTTCCCTGAGAGAAGTGGAGCATCAAATGTGGTAAGCATACAGTGGAAGAAGCTACTATAACAAGAGGCAGGAGAAACGGAACAACGCCGAGAACATCTGATTGCAACCAATTTGACCATCACAAATTCCACACGGCTGGCCCAGAATACGAACCCCGAAACACAAAGGTCGGAAGATGACCGCTACGCTTCAGTTCGCCTTCGGCGCGGATATTCTTATCGCTTCGCCCATTTCCGGATTGTGGCGCCGGGCTCCCGCACGCGCGGGCGCTCGCCCGGTCCGGCAGTGAAGAAACCACGGGAGAGGCGGCGCCGGGGGAATTAAAAGGAGTGGCCCACCTGCTCGAGCGAGCTGGACGAGGGCCGCCCCGTCTCCGGCGACGCGAACCATCCTTCGGCGCACAGTGGTGGGCGCCGCCACACTACAAGGGCCTGCGCCTCGGCCACTGCCTGCAGGAGAATGCTAGGGGCCGGCAGGAATGCGCAAGCAGTTCCCTAACAAACGGGCCATGGACGCGCGCCCGAACTTCCCTTCCTTTTTATTGTCATTGTCCTACACTTGCCCTTTACACACACACATATGCACTACTCTATCACAGTAGTTGGGAGCTTACAGCTTGTCACGGTCGGGGCGGTACCACGGTGGTGGGAGATACCTGTTGGGGTAAATCCCTGCAAGGCGACGTGCGTCGGCGCAGGTGCTCAACCAGCGCGTGAAGATCATCGCCATCTCCCACGATGAAAACATGCACTACACTTATAGGACTAATACCCTTAGGAGTTGAGGCGCCCGGAATCACTAATCAATCAATACAAAGGCCTGCAAACAGATGCCCATTCATGCCAACACACAAAATATAATCTCCATTAATAAAGCCTGTTGGCAACCATAGTTTTCTATCCTCCGCGCGTCTTTTTATTTCCATGAAGGAAAAAAATTCACGAAAGTCAATATTGGAACACTACTAAATACCAGGTTCCAGAACGTTGAAAGCAAGGATGTTGGAACGAATAGTTTCATAGAGTCGTACTTATTTTATCTAGTGGAGCTACAGAATGACACAGACTTTCTCGTTTTTCTCATTTCTTTCTCAATTTTTTTAATTTCCTTTGGTGTGGGCTACCTTTACGGTTTTGCCCCCAACTTCTTGGCGGCTGCCATCCATAGCTCTCCTAAATACATTTTTTTAAATTTTCTCAAAATTTCCATTTGCTATTGGTAAATTCACATATTACTTAGGTTAGAATGGCTAGATACTTAGATAATTGTGGACAAGTGACGATACTATAGAAAAAATTGACGCTCACTTACCGCAGATATATCAATCTGATTTCAAAATAATTTTCAGTTCATTTGGCTGAGAACTTTCTGGCATTAACTTTCTTTCATGACTTAACTTTCTAACTTCATAAAATGATACAACAGAATATATGATTTGAAATCGGACCACTTTCCTTCATAACTGGCGCACATATTGCATGGATAATAGATGGATATACGATACGCGCACTGCATTTGTTACCTTGTCGCAAGAGTGACTTAGTGAGAAACGCATAGCATAATTATCACGGGGCACTTATTTTCTAACGTCTGTTTGAAGAATTGGCTACCACAGTAGCTAAAGGATTAGTACAACTGGCCGTATAGAGTAAGATCAAAATTGCATTCAATCATATTATTATTATTATTATTATTATTATTATTATTATTATTATTATTATTAAAGCAATAGCTTTAATATCAGTTTCGGTCAAAGCCAAGGGTTGCATTATACTTATTAAATGAATCGACTGGAAATTAATTCCCCCGCCCCAAGTGAAATCTGGCGTGCATTTTGGATACATGAACTGCGAATATGCGGACGTCGCGAAGCGGGTGGTAGGGCCGTAAGAAAGACCCGTACAAGCCAGCAAACAAACGTATTTTCGACCACTGTCCGCCCGCGCGCCATCTAATGCCGCGTGCAGCGCCGCGGCGCCGTTCACGGCGAAACAAAACAGCCAGCAAAGAAAGGAAAAAAAGTGGAAACGTATTTTTTCCTCTTAAAAACCCTCGCCTTCAGTCTTTCCCGGCGCCCCACAAGAAACACAAACAAATAGAAAAAGTATGAAACAAAAACTTCTCGCGGAAATGAAGTCTTTCATTCAATCTGTATGCTAACGAAGCGAAGGCAAATTGCAGGGGGGGAGGGGGAGCGGCGCGCGTGGGTTTTCTGCGAGTGCGTGAAAGGCGGGCGGCAAAGCGCAGTCACGTGGCGTGGGAGGCGGCGGCGGGGAGGGGGAAGGCGGTTCGGGGCCCAAGAGGAGACTGTGGAGGGGGGAGGCGCAGGGAAAGACAAATGAAGACAGGTGAAGTAGACAGCGCGAGATTGTTCAATTGTGCGTCATGTTCAATTACAATTATGCATTTTAATACCAAAGGCGTTTAACAATAGGGAGTTTTAGCGCCAGGTGTAAGGAGATATCCTTAAACTCTATTGATCACGTGACAAACGCTTTTATACAATCGAAATGAACACCGTTCAGAAGAGTTTTAGCAATTGCGACATTGCGTTATGCATTATAACAAAGGAAACATTTCAAGCGTTGAACAGAGAAATTGTATAATATATCAAAGAATGTAGACTAGTGGTGAGACATTTAAAACACGCTGCGAGTCAATAGAAATACAAATGTTCATTGTGAATGGAGTTTTAGATTTTGTGGCCCTCCGTGATGAGTATGAAGTCTGGATGTGCTTTTCTTGAAAATATAGGAAACACCTTCAAACAGCGTTCGTTATGAGCATAAGACATAACCTATCCAGAAGATATGATTTGAACTCCTTTTTCGCGAATTTCTTTTCTGTCACCTATCCAACATATCCCGTTAGTTCTTGCCAGCGTTGTGGAGTTGGCAAGGAATAATTGTAACTGCCTCACATACGAGAATCGGTTTACCAGAGTTGAAAAAATTCAACTTTTTCTGTTTTATGCGGCCATTTTGCCTCTTGTAAGGTGACTGTCGAGATACCCGCAGACTTGAACTATTTATGAAAGTATAAGGCCGTACCTTAGGCCTAAGGTAAGACGGTATGACTTCAAGGTCCGTCACGTGACTATTAGTGCTTAACGCCGCTACCTTACGCGCAGCGCTAAAACTCCCTAATGTATCTGGCATGCGCCAATCAAGGCGGTGTATCTGTAAACAAAATATTTATTTTTCTCGCTCCTACAGGTGAATCTTAAGCAGCAAAACATCGATCATCGGAGGTGCATAGATTGAACTGTGATTGCTGAACCACTGCCGTCTGCTCCGTGACAAATGGCAGACAGCCTTGGTTGAATAAACGAAATATCGCGTCTCAGGTTGACATGGGAGCTTTCGCGGGTGTGTCCAGGGGTCGATCTCGGACGGAAGTATCGCGGGTTCGATTCCCACGTCGGGCGTGAGTCTGTTCGTATATGTCTGTATGAGTGTGTCGACCGTTCACGCTTCATTATCATTTCATATATACCATCCCCCCAGAACTAGCAACTCTGGGAGATAAAAATTGGATTCAGCTTCTTGCTGATGCCCCATAGAAGACGTACCATACACTTGCCACAGGATAAATGACACCAAGCCTCGGCAAGTGCAGGTGCGTGGCCGCGGGGTCCGAGACGGCCAATGCGCGACAAGAACAACGCAAAAAGCTGCGCCATTTTGTTGGTAACTTTTCTAGAAGTCTCTTATGAAAACTGTTTTATTATGACATAGATCTGACAGTACAAACTTCGACCACGACGAGACATTTCGCCCAAAATTTCAGAAAACTAAGGTTCTAAAATTGCCATATAAAAAGGCGACTTTCCGAACAATTTCATTTTATTTCACTCGTGGTGTGGTCTTATGAAATTCGTACACTTTCTTGTTCGACTCTTACATTGCGACATTCGCACATTGATAGCAAGTTGCAGATCAAAAAACCTTCCCATTGTTACATTAAACACAGAACCTTGCTAATAGATTTACTTTGCTAACGTACTGCAAGAACACACTCGAATTATTTTCTTTGCAATAATCTATGTAGGTCGGTTAGAAAGAATTTCCTCCAATCTTTTTATTTTATATAAAATTGGTTAAATGAAAAATTTCAATTTGGCGCAATTCCTGAAAGCACCTTCTACAATTCACCACAGTAGTAATTGTCTGCGTCAACATGTGGCAGCACAGTAGTCGTTTGCAAAATGGCCGCCATCGATGTTCCTAAGAGACCGCTTTGTAATCATTGTCTGCGTGGGCCTCAAATGTGTAACTGATGCAGTGAAATAGATGAAATGAAATCGGAACATGGTGGTTTCGAAGCACAATTTATAACGTAATATTTTAAGCTTTAATTTTATACATACTTAAAGTATTTTGAATACAAATGCACGAAGTTATGGACATTTTAAAATCGTCCATGTTTATTTATAGTTTGACGAAAAATTAGCCCTTTTCCGGTTACAGTGGCACACCGAGTCAAAAGTTTGGTTTTTTTATCAGGACATTGTAAAGGGAAATCGTTGGCACTACCTCAGCTAAATACCAATAAATAATGCTCTGATATAAATAACTCTTGAATCTCTAAAATGAAGCTCAAAAGGAGAAAAATTATTTGGCGGATGCAGATTACATTTAAAACTAACATTTCCAATTTCTCGCCACTGGTTACGCGGTAGAGAGGAAGTATTGTAATGAAGCGGAAAAAAGAACGAATTTTTGAGAGAAAAAATATTTTTGTCGAGCCCTGATAATGAAAAGGTGGATTAATCTTGTCCCAGTTTAGAGTAAATTACTTTCACTAATACGTGTTGTGAGAATCCGTTTTAGGGCCTTTGATATCGAAAAATCGATTGACCGCAAAATGTCTGCCTGTAAACAATGCTACCGGCTAAACCGTAAGCAAGATTATTACCAAAATTAATATTCTCCAATCGATCTGTCTGATGGCACGGCCCTTTCAATTTAAAACTGTTGTTCAAATTTTTGCATGTACTTCACAGACATCACCATTTTCAAAATTTTCAAAGAAATGGCTCTAAACGTTTTGATTACATTTGCGTAGGTCTCATTTTCGTTGAAATCTCTTATCTTACGAAAATTACAAAATTTTAAAAATGTAATATTTGGCGAAACACAGAAACGACTTCATTTACAAAGTAACAGGGTATTGAAATGAAGCTGGAATGATAGTAAATAAAAACATAAAAAAGAAATTCAGCCATAAGGGTAGGCTGAACGAGTTAAAGGAGCGTCACTTTATTATGCAGTTCTCCACAACATATTACTTTTTCTTCTTCTTCAAATTTGTGTGTGTGTGTGTGTGTGTGTGTGAACAGCTGTTTCCTGCATTTTTCTAGCGTAATTTCTGTATTCCTAGTTACTTCAGTTTTCCAGGGTTTCCCAGTTTTTTTTTTAGAAATTGGTCACCGTGACATATTCCAGAATTATTTATTTTTTGACTACATGAATGGTAAAAAATGTTCATTGCAATATGTATTAAAATAATACACACCTTATCTAGCTAGAAACATGATGGTAGCGCAATAACCTTTCAAACCAATACTCAAGGCGAAGTAACTGTAAGTCTCCTTAAGCACAATTGGGCAAATCGAAACACATTCGCAATGTCAAACTCCAAGGGTACTCTCTGATTGACATTTACGATAGTTGGAATAGTCTGGTCAAATATCACTTTACATTCTCTGTTAAGAGGTTGAACTTACTGATGAATAAGTCCTTTTATGCTAATAGGTGACGAAAGAAGCCATCCGAAATAAAGACTTAGAATGTAATGGAATGCTATTTGATCGCATTCACATCAAATTTATTTAAATTATGTTATGAAGAACAGTGCATTGCAGTATTTTTAATATAAGCCTTTGAACACATTTATTTCTTTTTTGAGAAACTTTCTAGCTATGACGCGTTACGAACAGCTTCCAATACAATTAAATACTTAAACCTTTCTATCGCTAATAAGTGTCAAATCATTAACAATAAAATCAATCTAAGTGAAAGTTGCTTTAGGAGTCGTCAGGCATAATATGCGTACTTGGGTTGACTGATTAGTGATTCCGGACAACTGCTAAGGTAACTGATCCCGTGAGCGTAGTACGTGTCTATCCCAGTCCCGAGACAAACTCGACATGTGTGGGTGTGTATACGAAGGAGTGAGAATACAAGGAAGAGAACGGAAAGATCGCGCGCGGTCTGTGGTCTGATTGTTAGGGTACTACTTCGGCATTTGCCTGGTGTTGATAGAAGAAATCACGGAAAATGCCGATCAGAGAAGCCAGCCACGTACTTGGAGTGATGTACAGAGTTCGCTCGGAGAACCGAAATAATAAATCTCACAAATTAACTTTAGTTATCTCTATCAAGAATGACACTGTGGCGCTTTGAAGTATCGTCAGTTATTAAGAAAGCGATGGATTAACATGGAACATCACTAATTTCACTAAATTGTGAATACGTTGTATGTGTCTTAATCTTCTGCTGCAACGCCCAGGTAACGTCACAAAAGTAATGGGTGCGGCGGAAATGGTGGGATATATTTTGTCTGTTATCTTCAACGGTGCACATTTTTTTTGTTACACGCATATTAGTAATTTCGAATACGCCCAGAAATTGAAAGATTATTATGCAGTCTCCGATCATATGAAAGGCGTCCACGGTTTCCTTAAATTACCAGGAACTCGAAAAAAAGGGTGAGAAATTACGTAATTTCGTTTTTAACTGAAAAAGATAAATATCTGATTTGTTATTGCACCTATTCGCATATAGCGCGTATCGATTGAAATCTCATATCTGTGTCACGCACACATATCTGCGGAAGGTAAATCATCAAGGAAGAGGTTCCCCGCCATGAAATATTTGTTATGTACGAGCTGCGTTATTACACAGCAACTTTTATATTCTTGGTGTATAAAGAAAGAACTGTGAATTCATAAAAAATAGGTTATTGCAGTATTCGTGAAAACTGATTTTGTTAAAATATTTCGTTTATATGAGAGATTTTATTTTTTATTCTTGAACTGTGGGCGTGCTTCGTTTTTGAAACCAAATTTTTGAAGTGTCGTTCAGCAAGCATTTTTTGCAGCTGCACGCCACTTTAGTTTGTGTGTTTATATTTAAACCAAGTATTTAAAATGTTAGTACACATAAGACTCTTTTAAAAATTCATTTTCAATCAATTATTGAAATTATTTTTATCACTTTAATTTTTTCAGAACCAATATAGAATATTTTACAACGTAATTATTTTGAGGCCAAATGTACACATAAAATAACTGCCATTATAATGGAAATTGGAATCAGGAAGCGGACGACAGAAATACATCTTTCAAATAATATGAACCAAGAATTTATAACCTGAGTTAAAAAAATGTTCCGTATTTTTCGAAAAATTTCGAAACTGAAAAACTGATAGATCTCTTATAGACTTTATAATAATATTCAAACGCAATTGGATATTTTGAACCATTTGAACTATTTGTTGTTTTCTGGAGGGAGGCTCCACGGTTTGGGCAAGCGTAAGGCACCAAAAGATATTAATTCGATCTTGTATTCTCATGCGTGTTAAAGCGAGAGGTGATTCTTACCTGGATTTACTTCAGGGAGGTGCTTCAAGATCTCAGCGCGCTCGTCTTCCTCCAGGTCGCTCCAGCCACCAATGTCATCCGGCGTGTTGATGCGGGCGGTAGTGGCTCTCTGGCGCTTGAATACCTGTTGGGGCGTGATTAATAAATTGTTTTACTACTCGCTGCGCAGGCCCATTTCTACTCTATCATTCTCCAGTTTTGAAAACGGCAAGTTATGTCACATTTTATGTTTTATACAATCGGAAAAGCGATACAAGGTTCTTTTGTTATCCAGATATCTAACCGTCTGAGCTATAGTCAAACATTACAGTAGTGACAATTTATCTATCTTATATTGTCATCCGCTTAGGATGTAGTATAAATAGGACGACGGGTGTATGTTTCCATAAACTTCTGTTTCAACATTGTTTTAAGAATGTCTCAAAATAACTCTATGAGCATGTAATGCCGAGGGGATTGTGCTAATCTATCTACTTGTAAAAAAAAATATTCGGGAAAATGAGAACTGCCTCTCAGTACAATTCTCGACATGGCAGCAGTACACTCTATTACGTGTATTACATTAACAGTATCTAGGCGCAAGGTTTTTATATATATATATATATATATATATATATATATATATATATATATATATATATATACATATATATACATATATATATATATACACATATATATACAGGTACGCCTAACACTCGAGGAAAATATAAAAATACCATCAATTGTTACCCCCAGAACACAGATCTGCCAGTCTACATATAGTAATGTAATTCAAATTTACGAAGTTTGGCCACTCTTTGTGTTTAACAGGGCAACGAATCGTAACGAATGTCATTTTCTGATGCTCTGAAAAAGTGTATTGTGAATTGTATATATCTTCCCTTTACAACTTCTCTTCTTGGAAAACATTAATTTTTTTTATTTCGATAACTCATGAACGCGACTGCTTTGCGTCGCCATACAACCCGCAATACATTTGCCTTTTCGATCGTACATAACTGGGTAAGTTCCTAGGCCCTGAAGGGAACAAAGTATTTTAAGCCGTATTGTACAAAACAAGATAGTTCTGTACTATCTATTATATTTTAGGGGTGTAGCGCAAAGACAATGCCAAAAGTTTGAATCTGAACCATTTAGCTGGCTAACACTAACTACCCAAACTTTTCAACAAGATTCATCTAATTGTTCAATTCTGGAATGGGAGCTCATTTTTACTGTGTATTATGTATACATCACATCGAAAGATTATGTAGAGTGTACACTTATCTCAGCGTAAGAACGCCAAAGACACACTAGACTACATTTTACATCATCTCCCCATTAGCTTCACAGTCAAAATGGTGCAAGCAACTACAGCCAATTCAATGAAACATCAGGGCATTCGAACAAAGACGCCAACTTGAAAGTATTGGCGGCGAAGCAAAGCCCAAGTATGGCCCCAAGCCTATGATATCTCTCAGTTTGGTTTTCAGCTTCAAAAGCAGAGTCCTACCCATCATCTTCACGATCCTGTTGTGCCTTTCCCTCTGCCAATTCATAATTTTACTACACAATTAAAAAAATATCAATCTTAGTACGCACGCATTTGGACAGAGATTAGAGTGGCAAGCAGTAATATACGAGGCGCAACCGACAAGGCATCAAAGAATGTACACGGGCCTGCTTGTTACCTTCTTTGTACAAAATTACAGCGACAGTAGATTTAATAGATTGAATGAATAGTACGCACACACTTGGTAGTATTACAGTATTGTATTGGGCGGCATGCTTTCCTATTGTGTGAGATGTTTTCCTCGCAGACAATCGATAGGTCAACGATCTCAAGGAGAAACAAACGTCCAGCACAGTTACAAACTCCGCAGCGTCTGCGGTGGCGCGGCAGTGGGTTTGAATTGCGTGCCCGCTATTTTAGAGACGAAGAATCCGCCATGTTTCGTGAGTTTCAACAGATATCCTGTATAACCATCATCATTTTCCTAATTTACCATCTATATGAATAAATACCCGTGTCAATGAACAAAAACATTGCAGCATTCCTGTCAATAACCAGTATAATTTCCTCACAGCGTTCAGAAACCACCAGTGAACAAAACGCCAATTGCATACCTCGAAAAGGCAATCTACATGATGCCACATCTTCATAAGGCCAGCGCCAAAGGGGTTGTAGCCCGCCTTGGCCAACCGCAGACTCCCACTTTCTATCTTCTGTTTGCATTTCTTGCAAGTTGCGCGCCCTGTCTTGGCGAGCTCCGCGAAGAACTTCTTTTCTTCTTCTTTATCTTCTTCCTTGTCGCTCCCGCTAGTTGACATGGCTCTACAACAAAACCAAGGGCAACATCGTGAAGTATTTTGTAACTCCGTGAGATCTCGTAAAGTTCAATAACAAATATTTTCGTGTGAAGAGGCAGGAAGCTGATGATAGCTGTTGAGCAAAGATATTAGTAAAATTAAACTAACAAATTGCAACATAACATTTTAATTCTCATTCTACTCACGTAGTGTAGAGAAAGTATTGTAATCCTGCATCCGGAAACTGCGACTTTCCGGCAGAAAAACTCGGATTGTGGGTCCTTGCTGGAGAAAATGGATATTATATAATACTTTTTCTCGTCTATGTAGTAAATAAAATGCTCTAATGCTTTGTACAGCGGTAGAAACTTTGAATCATATCCAGTGCATTTTTATGAAGCCAGCAAGAATAAAGCGTCATGACAAGATCAAAAACTTCGTAGAAGGGAAGATGCTCCGGAAATCGGACACGGTGCTGTCCACGGAAGCCACTTTCTCCGTTGCCGAAGGGGTTAGACTCAAACCTGACCTGGTGATAAAAAGGCGGGAAGGGGTCCACGTGGTCGATGTGACTGTCCGCCAGGAAGATGGGTCTATCCTTCTGAAATCAGGGGAGGAAAAGGTGGTAATACCAACCAGTCATCCCCCTGGCAGCCCAACTTCATGGAGTACCCAACGCCAGAATCCTGCCAGTGGAGGTTGGAACCTCTGGGGCTATGCCAAGATTTAGTCAGTGCCCTCAAGACCCTGGCGATCACGTCTCGAAGCGATCTACTGACTATCTCGTTAATTGCGTTAAGTTGTCAGTAATTGTTTTCATTGTCGTAAGTTCCTCTAAAATTTTGAATGTGTAAGTGCGGTGAAGAAGGTTAGCATAAATCAGCATGGAAAGTTTTACAGGCGTTTGTAGTGTGAAGAGTACAGAAAACAAAGCTCTAGTCGGAGAGTACTACTTTTGCTTGCTTATTAACCTTCATTAAAACCTGATGAAATTTCAGAGCATGCCTAAAAAACATGTATTTCTGCGAAACACAAAATCACACGTTACTTTGGATATCACATGTCTACGTAACCTGACATTGCGTCCCGACGCATGAACATATTGAATAAAGATTAATATCCACCGGTCTTTTACTTGTATAACGTTACTCACCAAAGTTGCAAATTCGATACGAAGTTGCGATCATCTAAAACACTTTAATTGGATTGTTGGTGAAGTAGATGCCTTTTTTATTTTGATAAATAAATAGAGATATTGTCAATTTTTTTATTTATTTATTTATTATTTATTTTTGACAAGACAATTGACAGAAACACTACAGCCAAGTACTCACAATCCTTATAGGACCCCTTTCTCTGAAAATAGCCTCACACTCGATAAATTCGGTCTAAAAACTTTCTTTCAACAACACTCATACATTATACAAAACCTATGCAACACTAAAGACACAATCCCACCTACACCTTATGCGGAGTCTATTCTCTCACGTGCCAACAATTGCAATGCCATACTACATAGGACAAAAGGCCGTAAATTCACACAAATCAAAGAACAACGAAATAGCATGGAAAAATAACACTACCACAGTCTCACACTTTGCGGATCACCTAAATTTAAACAAACCACAAATTTGATAATAACACATAAATTTCCCGAATTCTAGAAATTGAGAACAGGTACTGGAACAGAATAAAATTAGAAGCCTTAACAACATACACAACACCCTCAAAAAACAGAACATGACATGTTATTACCCAACAAAATCTCTGAACTCTCTTCACCTCCGCTAAAAATTAGCACAAAGTGTACACCCTAACCCACCCCCAGCCTCCCCACCCACTAAACCTTCGCTCGCCGCGACCGGTCTCTCAAGCATCACCAGCACCCGCACGGTTTTATAAGACCCTTCACCCGTACCCTCACCCCTCTTCCCGCCCCTCCCGCTGCCGACGGCTGTGCTCTTAAACAAGACACACGCTCAAAAATTCGCAGAACTTTGTTTTTCGGACCCAGAAGCTGAAAGGTATGTAAATCCAGTTTGCTTCAGCGCATCTTGTATACAATAACCAACTGGTTAATATTTCACATTGTAATATTTGTTAATTGTTTTAAGTCTGAGGATGATCGCTACGCGATGCGCAGCGATCGAAATGATCATTAGTTGAATTAAAATATTGATACCTGACAATATCTCTATTTATTTATCATCTAAAACACGTTAATCTACGAGGTACACTTAAGCTTAACCGCTACCCGCGAGGTCTCATCGCTACTCCAATGAGGAGACATACCGGAAAAATCAATCAGCTCCAAGAGAACATGACCGTTAATGAAGGTAACCGCTTAATCGAATATGCAGTTTCTGTATGTTCCGCTGTCCTCCACAGATGTGCATTTTTCAAACCTCTTTTCCTGCTCCGCTTCTGCGTGAATTCGCAGCGCCCCGCCCACAAAGGCCGGCCTTTGCGAGGCCGCTCGCCCGCGCCAAGGAGCTTCTACTTCTGCTGTCACGGGGGCGTGATTTGTGAGGGCCATCGCGCAGCGCCGCGCCGGGTGGCGGGAGGGAGGGGCGAGCGACACCTGTTGGCGCCCTTAACAACCTCCGCGCCCGCCGCTCGCCCACGCGCGGCCGGGCTCTTGTCGCCCCGCCCACGGCGCACCTCGGGGCGACCAGAAGGAATAGGACATCACACTGATTGGCGAGTGAACTGGCCATCACACAAGCAAAATCTTTTGCAATCGATCAGGTTACGTGGTGTATTCTTCATTACTTTCTCAAACATTTTCCATCAATGTTTCTCACTCTGTTGAATGTTAATCTAATTTCGCGCGTCAACCACATATTTTCCTTCATTTTCCCTGTATTGCTCATACTCTCTCAGAATGGAAATTTAATGGCACTACAATTTTTCATGGAGCCAGTACAATTCTGTTTTTCTTTGTTATCAGGTTGGAGAAGATTTATCGACTTGTCTTTTGCGAATCACTTGTTGTTGTTAAGCATCTTTATTTGTCACTATTTGTAGAGCAGTGAAATAACAAAAAAAAAAAAAAAATTAAAATGCATGAAACACGGAATTCACAGCTTTCAAACGACATTTTTATCGTAAGAATAAGCTTGATGACTGTTTACATCTCAGAACTGCATTTTAAACCACTTAAAATACAAATGTAAAGAACATACTGGTGACATCACAAGACTTAACACATGTAAGAAGAATTATAGGTAAACAACCAAGCCATTTACCATTGGTAAATATTCCAAACTATTTGGAATATTTAGATCCTGAGGGATTAATATTCAAGTTGTTAGTGGATACTTGTTTCGTTTTAATTAAAATATACAACACCTTTCTGGAGCAGTTTGACACCCCTTTTCACGTGCTGAAAATATTTTGAAATTGCAGTTACACGACATATTTTTATTAAAAAAAAATTAACATTGAAAATCAAAAGCATAAAAATGTGTACACATTCGCAATAAAACGTAAAATAGTAAAACCCAACACATGTACCCAAATTAAAAACAATAAAATGAGAAAACCTGTCACTAAAACGTTTGGGGGATATAGTCCCTAGGTTAATAAAACGTGAATTGATGAAAAAACAATTGTGGAATGAAGGAGCGGAATGATATTAAAAGTCATGGAAAGGACAAGAAACAATAGAAGTAAAGTGAGTGAAGGTGTGATCAACAATCGAAGAGAGCATGGAGCAAAGCTTACGTTAATATGTACAAGGAGTATAAATGGTATGATCATGCAATTTCTTCATAGCATATTAAAAATATTACAAAAAACTATGTCCTACAAATAATAGTATGAAGATTGTCAAAAAGGTCAAAAGCTTGTGCGAAAAAGTCAAAATGTTTAGTTTTCATGGAAAGAACCGCCAAAAAATCAAAATGCGTTTTTTTCAAATTTGCAAGATCTCGAGATCCTCTAGATCAATAGGAGAATATCAAATTTGGAGAAAATCGTCTGAACGGTTTAAGCACTAGGTTGTCCGGACGGAACCCATATTTTCGATATCAAGACCCCACAAAACATGGATTCTGATGACACAATTTTCTATATGCTACATTAAATAGCTTACACTTCCTACTTAAAGTCGTGGTAACTGTATAATTCCTAGGCATTTTAGGATCCAATGGGTTCCTTAGACTTCCCCACATTGAGGAAGTAATTTACTATGTATATGTATATATATATATATATATATATATATATATATATATATATATATATATATATATATATGAAGACGATTTATTATCTTTTTCAATATATGGCCACAGAATACGAGTTTTTCTGACCAAACAAAGCTACTTCACTATTACAATACTTACTCGTACAAACGTAGTTAAACCGTGAGAATATTGATAGGTTCCACAAGTTAAGTTAGAGGCCTAAATCCGATCATTAGAATGATATACAGGTCAAAGTGTGGAATTCAAAATCTTAAGATCAAATACATGTCGAAGCAAAAAAATTCATTTTGGATTATTATTTGCACGTTTTGTAAGAAAACAGTAGAATCAACCAAATTTGTTAGAAATATTAGATATTTTGCATAATTGTGAAACAAATCGTGACAAATTACAACAAGATTATCTCAAAACTGGCTTCCATTTTAAGATACAGCAGAATACACAAAATGGCACTCGTGCCATTTTCATTGAAAATTTTATATTTTTCAAAAAGTAAAGGTAGGTATTTCCTAAACTGTCTCAGTTTAGTTAAGCGTTTTTCAAGAGACTGCAGAGTTATTGGAAGGAATGGTACTATTATAATAATTTGTGACTTTTCATTAATACGAGAAAGTGTGTTGTAGCTGCACTGGTGTAATGAAATGATCGAAAGTAATCGAACAGAACAGAACGAACTTCGAACAGAAACATCAAAATAAGGGAGGGGCACGAAAACAAATCGATGTATGACTCTACTATTGCCCAGCACGTGGTATGTAAACGGTAAATATATGCAAGCACTCAGCGCAATACTCGTTCATACGGGTTTCCCTGG